AGCAACAAGAAAAACTAACAAATAAATGCAGAAAAGGCACGAAAAGTGATATATTTCAAGATGCATTTTTCGCTCAAATCAGTTGTGGAGCAGCTCAGAAAATCGCTTAAAATTAAACAGTTGCGGTGTAAATTATAGCACTAAAAATTTTTTATTAAATTTTGTTTTTATTCTTAAAAGTACTAAAGGCTTTTAAGATTCTAAAAGAATACTTATTATCTATGTATAATCCACAGAGATTAAACCAATTTTAAAAAATGTTGTAATATTTATATTGAAACTTGTTTTTGGTTTTCTATTAGCTAAAATTTGACTTAAGTAATTTTAATAATTCTGTTTAAATAAAACAGTTTACTAATAGCATTATGTTCTATACATTCTGTAAGCTTAAAGAAACTATATGCCCTAATTGATGTTTCAAATAAAACAAATAATCATTGGCCCTAAGCTGTAATTAGTTCTATTATGTTGACCGCAGTTGTATGTATATCCCAAAAAAAAAGCTACATACATCGCAATAATTAAAACTTGGTTAAAAATGCTATGGAAAGAGGGTGCGGGAGGGGGTGGGCGGTCCACAATGCATCATCGTGTTGAAGTTGCGATGCGAAACGACCGCACCTAATTGGTTTTGCATGAGTTAGTTGCTGCTGTTTATGTTGCTGGTGGGTGGAAATGGGTGGCATGAGGGCGGCAGGAGTTGCTAACACATTTGTGGCATAAGTGGCAAAACCGAAAAATAAGAAAAAGCACCAAGTATCGAAAGTCATGTGAAATGATGACACTTTGACTGGTGTCAATTTGGGTGAGGGAAGACAGAGATTGGGAGCCAATCTGCAAAGACTTTAAAGTTATATTGAAAATATGTATATCAATTTCTGAACAAATAATTTTATTATATAATTGTTAAATATATCACTAGCTTTTCATACAAAAAGTACTATTTTTAAATTGTTTTCCCCACAAGTTCTATCCAAAAAACATACAAACAACATCTAAAGAGTGGATGCTCTCACATTTCTGATTTTTAAATAAGACTCAGTTAATATCTGTTCAATAAACTACAATCATATATTGTAATAATATTAATAAATCCCTTGGATTGTAGAAAATTAATTGATGTTACAAGTATAAAAGCTGCATATATAATAGTCCTTTTAATAACTAAATATCAAAGGATTGTTTATAGTTTGTGCTCTAAACCGCTTGAAATTGTAAAATGTAAATTCAGACCATTTCCATATGACTCCACTCAGTTCGATTGCATTTTGTAACGATGCCATAGGCAAATGCAGAATTTAATAGCGCGTTTCTATTGTTGGACAAATGCAAATTGAGTATTTTCGTGAGTTTTTCAAACGAACAGCCATATCATGTTGGGCCCTCCAACCGGCTGCCTCGCCTCCGCCGGCTTATGTTATGACATAATTAAAGCCCGACACATGTTTGGCTTGCTTTTCTGCGGTGTTGTCACCTGTCCGACTGTCCACCCGTCCGGCTGTCCCTCTGTCACTGACACGTCACGACACCTGGTGGGGTGCTGATGAGACTGATGCGGCGGTGATGTTGAGTATGCACATTTTAAATGCAATTTAATGGACGCAACAATTTACCACACATTCGCATACAAATATGAAAAATCATTCACTTAAAAAAAGGGTTAAAAGCTGAAACAAATGAAACGATATTCGGTTGCAATTTATCTTTTAAAATGGATGCCAAAGTGTTGGGAGCGTCCTTCCTGCCACTAACTCTGCATATTATTGGAATTTATGATTCCGCATAACTACACTCTACAGAAAAAGAATATTTCAAAACGAAATAATGGATTCTGTAAAATAAATCAAGTATTTATTTTAAATATTAAATAAAGTTTTCTCTGAAAAGTTTATATTTCGGAAAATGCTAGTATTTCATACTGTTTGAGTGTTATTTTTTAAAATGTTCTTTCTTTAGAGTATAAAGTTATGCACTACAAAATGTAACTTTCTTTCTATTTTATTGCATATATTTATTTTTCATTCACACGCCCGCTCGCATATCCTGGCCATCCTTGGGACGCCTGCATAGCTACATTTTAATATTTTGCCAGATGAGAGCAAAGGATGAAGTTGTGGAGGAGCCTGGCAAGGCAACGGCCATATTTCACAATTTATTGTGCTTGTCAATTGCAGGCAAGGCAAAAAAAATATATGTTTATATAAAATAGATACCATGCCATATGCATACTCGCAGTACTTCTTCAATAGCATCATTGGAAGCTAAGGGGAAAATGCGCAAAATTATTCTACTGGAAATATTGCATTCTTATATCCATCATGCAACTTGATGTCTGCAAATCATGGTAGCTGCAAGTGGCTAGCTTTTGGCCTTGACAATGCTGGGCTTACAAGAAGGTCAGATAGGTAAACTATAAGGAAAATGTTAAAAGAAATTAGTTTTTAATATTGAATATAAATTGTATTGTTAAATCTTAAAGCATATTTCATGTATCTCTACTATGTTACTCACACGTATTTCATGTTCATTGAACGCAAAAACCAATAATTGAGCCAATTATCTCTAGTTTTCTGTATCACAATTTGATCACAATTTATAAATTACTCACAAGTGGCTCAAGTTCAATGGTCCTTGGTCCGTATTTTATTGTCTTGAAATTTGAAATGTTTAAAATTACACTTTATTGTATAATAATTGAAATAAATGCGAAGGCTTCCATTTGTTGTAGGTGTTGCATTTGCAAGTACTATAAGCCACACGACAAGTGCTTGTAAAGCCATATGGATATGTGCAAATTTGACATTCAACTCTGCCCTGACCCCTGACAGTGGGGAAAGCAAATATAATGGCAAGGTAGAAAAACAACTTTGAGGGGCAGGTTGAATTGGCTGGGCAGATGGCTTGTAAGTGGCTCTTTGACTCGGCCATTAACACAAACTTGACACATTGATGACGATGTTGTTATTGGTGCTATTGCCACCGTTATTGTTTGTGCTTACGTCTAGGGGTATTGCATGGCGCAACTTTAGATTTATGATAAGTCACGATTCCAGCTGGCGGGTGGAAAAATTGTCGTGAGCCCAGGAAAAACATAACAAAAAAGAAAACCATTTTTTGTATGCAATCCAAATGGATTTTGGCAAACAATTGGCGCTCATCAGGCAGCCAATTAAGTTGTTTAATTGAATTTCGAGTGGAAAGTGCCGAGCAAGCAGAAAACGAGCTGAGGAAGACGCCGCAAAAGCATTTAGCAAACGAGCAGAAGAAAATTGAGGATTTTCTTTCACTCTTTCGTTTTCCACGTACAAATAGTAACACTTTTTCTGTTATTTTCCGATTTCTCATGTCTTGATTTTTTTGTGTTGATGCAATGTGAAGTGAAACTGTGTTTAAATGGACTATCGAGCAGGAAGAGATTATTGGAAATAGTTAAGACTATATTTATTTGTTGATGAGTAATTTTTGTTATACTAGTTATTCGTTAGAATTAGGTTTCAACAAAAATGTTTGCATTCAACGGTGAAAGCTTGTTATTTTTTGTTACCAAAAACATGTATGGTTACTCAATGCCAATTAATTTTTAGCAAAATATCACCCATTTGATGTTTTATATTTTAATATATACTTTTTCTTGTTGTGCTGCTTGCATTTTCGACAAAATATATTCCTCTTTGAGCTGTCTCGCTCCTCGTTTCGAGGATACATCCCCCCACTGTCGGCACTTCACGTAATTTCAATGAACCGCATTTACGTTTGGTTCGGTCTATCTATCCTTCCTCCGAGCATCCGTCGGCGCCGACATAGCCGTGACAATGCCGCACCCATATACACATACATACATCACAGGACTCGATAGGAGTACACTTTGAAAAAAGTCTACTAAAATGTATAGAAATTTCAAGAGCTATTGAAAATTTCACAAAATTTACACCAAGTACCCTTCTTTTCCAGAGAATGAAAAGGTTATCTGTAATCTGTATAATACAAGAATGTAATACATTACACATTCACCTAAAAGTATGCAAATATTTTATTGAATGTTGATTATTATTTAGTTTTTTCTCTGTGTACGCAGGACTCTCGTGGAGAGCGGCAGTCATCGAAGCTCGCAATTTGTGGCTTTCGGCCCAGTTAATGCCAATCTCGCAGAGGCTTCCCATCTTGCAGTCACCACCACCCCACTCCTCCCGCAACCCACATCCCTACCAATGCCACCCCCAATTCCAACCATTCTCCTGCTGCACCGCTCTGCTGCTCGCTATCTCGCCGCATTACAATTCACTGACATAATGCAAAAATCGCAGCAAGTCAGGCGCAACTCGTTGATACGCGTGTTCTGAAATTTGCAATCCTCACCGTTTTACCCGTCTGATTTTTCCAATCAGAAGGATGGAGGGAACGCCATTGTCCTGGGCTTGTAAGGGTCGAGGGTATTTTGTGAATAGCAGCAGTGCACCTAATGGAGAGTAAGCTAATTAAAATGGTTCAAAAGAGTCACAAAGACCTTGAACTAGGCGGAGGTAGGTAAAGCTCTTTAAATCATTGACGAAATTTACGAGTAATAAAAATAAAGTAAACGAACTATCCAGCTTAAGGAACCGGTTTTCTTTTGCTTAAAAATAAATTACTACATATTTTTCTATGAATTATAATAGCTCATTTATAATTATTATATACTTACTTCAGTTGTGCCAGAACCCCCCACTAAGTACCTCCTAATTGTATTAACTTTATAGCCATTGAAAGGCATAAAACAATTAACACTATCATTGCCCTCAAAAATGTACCCCCTTGGTTAGGTACTATATCAAATGGGCGATAATCACCAGGAATAATCCAAATGGACACCGAGAAGTATAAAAATCTTGGATTTACGCTGCCTTTTGCTGGTATCAAGGAAACACTAATAAATAGCCTCACTCGACTTTTTATCAATAGATTAGATTGGGCTAAAGGTTCTTCAGAAATATTCTGCAAAATACTCAGTCGTACGACCAAAGTGGACAGCAGTAGTTCAAATGCTGAGAGGAACATTATTAATACTGGCCCTTGTGGCCACAGCTGCAGCTTTCGATGACTTTGATCCTTTCATCGATATACCCTTCAAGGCTATAAAGACTTCGGTGGGTTAAAGAATCCTTCGAGCTGGAATTAATTAAGGAAAATTAAATTAATGCTGTTTCATAACAGTTCATCTTTGCCTTGGTCTCGGCTCTTCAACTATTATAGTTTCCTTAACCGATTTAAGCTTGATTTTCGCTGCAGGCGGAGCGCATTGAAGCGCACGGCTACCCGGCCGAATCGCACTTCGTGGAGACTCCGGACGGCTATGTGCTGAATGTGTTTCGCATCCCGCACTCGCCGAGCCTGAACAATGGCGCCCAACAGCGTCCGGTGGTGCTCATCATGCACGGCCTGTTCAGCTGCTCGGATTGCTTCCTGCTCAATGGTCCGGAGGACGGGCTGGCGTACAACTATGCGGACGCGGGCTACGACGTCTGGCTGGGCAATGCGCGGGGCAACCTGTACTCGAGGAACAACACCAGGCGGGACGTGAAGCATCCGTACTTCTGGAAGTTTAGCTGGCACGAGATCGGCTCCATAGATCTTCCAGCAATGATCGACTACATCCTGGAGGTGACCGGGGAGAAGGCCTTGCACTATGTGGGCCACTCGCAGGGCTGCACCTCCTTCTTCGTAATGGGTTCCTACCGGCCGGAGTACAATGACAAGATCAAGACGTCTCACATGCTGGCCCCGCCCGTCTTCATGGGAAACACTACGGAGGGTCTGATCGTGGCCACGGCTCCCGTCTTTGGAACTCCAGGTCTGGGTACTACCCTCCTGGAGAACCAAGTGTTCCTGCCCCAGAATCAGTTTATTCAACGTCTGCTGGACACCACCTGCAGCAATCAGCCTCTTCTGCTGAGCTACTGCAAGACCCTGGCCCTGCTCTGGGGAGGTCCTGAGATTGGAAATCTAAACGCGGTGAGTCATAGTTTTGCTATTAAATATCTCATCTAAGGTTTGTAATAACCTACCCGCAGACCCTGCTCCCGCAAATCGCTGAGACCCATCCCGCTGGGATTTCCTCCAACCAGGCCATTCACTTCATCCAATCCTATGCTTCGAATGAGTTCCGCTTGTACGATTGGGGAAGTCGCAAGAACCTGGAGTATTATGGAGTGGCGGAGCCTCCGCCATATGATCTGGGGCAGATTACCTCCGAGCTGTATCTGTACTACGGCCTGGCGGATGGTTCGGCCAACAAGCAGGACATTTCCCGGCTACCCGAGCTTCTGCCCAACCTGGCCCTGTTGCATGAGGTGCCCGATCCCACATGGGGCCACTTGGACTTTATTTTCGCCACTGAGGTCAAGAAGGTTATCAACGATATGGTTATAGACTACAGTAAGGCCTATGATGAGGGAATTAATAAAAATTAATGTGGATTTAGATAATAATAAAGGAAATATTTTTATAAAAAGTAGTTGTAGTTATCCCTTAAAAGCCACATTCACATCCAGATTAATTACAGATAACTAAACACTCAACTTTATCCTTCGTTTCAGCCAGAATGGCGAATGTGGGCAAACTAATTGCCAGTTAAGAACTGTCTGCTGGTCGGGTTATCTCAGCCATTCCCTTAACTTTGTCTGGTCACGCCCCTCTGATGTACAAGTTTTCTCCCTTTTTATTTTTTTGCTTCTTGTTTCCCAGACTCTGCGCCGGTTTGTTGACAAAAATTATCGCTGGCTGGATGACGCGGTTAGCAGTGCTCTCAGCCCCTTCTGGCCCTTGGCGAAATTACAGTAATTAGCACTGTTCCCCTCGCCAGTTTGCTTGTTTGGCGGTTTAGTTGGGGACAGTTGCAAATATGCTTATAATGATGATTTATGCGGTTCAGTGGGTTGTAGGTGGCGACTCGGCAGAACTATTTCGTGCGATAAGCAAAGGAGATGTTGCATTGATAGGAAGGATTTTTATTGGTTGGTGGAATGGTATTTATTTAATTTAAAAGAAAACTTTAAACTTAAATGTACCGAAAAGATTGCTTGACAGTTTGTGATAGCAAATATTATGTTACGGTGTCAGAGATTGTGCAGAGATTGTATAAATATTTAAAAATGACTCATGGTAGCCACCAATCACCATCAATTTCTATATAAACCAGTTTACTCATATAGATAAAGAATCACCCCTTGACACAAGTATTTTTCTAAAATGAAATCAAAGTTAACACCGTACATTCGCACGTAACCCCCTACATAAACATTCCCAATTACCCCAAAACCCGATGACTATCAAAGCGGTTTATCAAATTGATTACTTAACACCTGCCTGGGTTATCTACTTCAGATTAAGGTAGCTCGAATTAAGTTAAATTTAAACGCCATTATCTTAGGCCCCTCAGTGCCGCGAACAACCCAGATAATTAATTGACTCTAAGTAATGCCCATTGACTGCTCACTCGTCAGTGTTTCGCACTTGGGATGGCTTCAATCGAGCCAAGCTGCTGGCAATTAACCGCAGCTCCTACATTAATCGCGGACCGCTGATGTGGAAGAGGATAATGCCGGTGACGAGAAGGCCTCGAGTGCGTCAGCAGGCGAAAAATAAGTGCAGAGTTAAGTGAAATTGCGAATCATCAAAGGCGAGACAGCGAAATAAAATTAATAAAGTGTAAAGGATTTTGTCGCGACAGCAGCAGCATCAGCAACAGCAGCATGAGAAGGAGGAGGACAAGGAGCACAAATCTCTGGCGCACAGGACATAAATCTGCCGGGGATTCCGGCTCAAAACCCTGACCTGTCCGGAGTCTCCAGTCTGTACCCCATTGCCTATAATCCTTTATTTTCGTTTTCAATTTGTTGGAAAAGGCAAACAGAAAGTGTTAAAAGTATTTCTCATGCGGAAAATCCATAGCGACTGCCCAAGCGCTGACAAACTTTTCTCACCCAGCCCCTATACCCTGGCCTTCTCCTCTTCGGTCCTTTCTCTAAGTGGCTGCGACACTTCTGTATGCATAATTTAAACAAAAGTCGCCGAAAAAATAGGGAGAACGAGAGCGGAAAAACAAGCAGCAGCAACACAAAAGTTGCAATTGCAGAAATTGAAAAATTTTCCCGCATAAAAATATGCGCACAGGCATGAAAAGTCCAAGGGAAAACAAAAGGAAAATCAGCAGAGTCCCCAGGACAGAATTTTTGCTGGTAATCTTGCTCTCAGCTAAGATGTCGGCAGAAGTGTCGTGCATGCTAGTTGTTGCTTTTGGCCAAAATGTTTATTGTCAAAAAGTTCCGCAGAATGCAGATTGCCACAGGGTCACAGGGAACGGGGACTATTTTTGCTACCTCTTTTGGGTGATTTACCTGCCAACTTCAGGCACTTTTATCCTGAAATATATTTGTATTTCTCGCTAACAAAATCCTAAGTGACTAATTTATAATGAAGGTTGCCAGGTGTAAGCCTTGTTTACCCCAAGAATTACTTGGGCTTAAAGTAATTAAATATGAATTATGTATGAATTTACTTACAAGTTAGCAATTAGAACAATTAATTTTTACTTGACTTTTTTATTTATTAAATCTATTTTTTAAAAATATATATTTATTTGCCAAATACGACTGTACAGTTTACTGTTAAAACTCTTATAATTTTAACAGAAAATAAGATTTGGTTTGTGAAATGGCTTGAATGAGGTCTACAGTCGAAAAAGATGACAAAACAGTCAAATTATTGTTTACTAAACGGCTTAAATTATTTTAATTAAGAGATTGAATTAAATTTTATATTATTTTTTATTAAGTGCTTTTATAATGTCTTATAAAAGGGTGGAAAACATGGATCTGCAAAAGCATGTCAAAAACATGGTTCACTTTTGTGCTTTGGACAGCTTTTTGAAAATTGTACATATATTTTCACGGTTTCTAGTAGGGTATAAAAGATTGTAGAGCATAATTTAGGTAAAAGAAATGTATAAAACTATTGCCAACATTTTGGCAAATTCTGGCAACGCTATCATAAAGTCGTTTCACGAGGTTTCTCAAGGATATTCCGATGTTTTACCGCGAAAAATCGAAGTATTTTGAAAATTGTTTATTTTTTATTTTATTATTTCTTCAAGACAAAAGTACTCTTATATTTTTAAAAATTAGTTATAAAGAAAAAGTATGAAAGAGTATTTTTAACTTTCTTTTTTTTCTATATAAATTTACCAATTCATATAACTTTAAATTTTTTTTTAACTTTAATAACTTCCACCTATATAACTTCCACCTATATATCCTTTAGTATTTTATTCCAAAATCTGTAAGAACTAAGAGTTGAATCTATTTTATGTATAAAACCCAACTAAATAGAGATGAAATTTAAAAGTGTACTAACTTTTAAAGCCATTAATTTTCTTCCTGAAAACCAGCTAAACCTGCAATTGGCATTTATACATGAATTTTAAATAAATTCCTTGTAATTGCCATCCCCATGGAAACCTTACACATTTCTCCAGAAAAACAACCTTTGATTTAAATTGAAGTCTGTTGCTAAAACTCCAAAATAAAATCAATGCAATGAACCAAGTTTTTCCAATTACTCAACTCCCCAAGGGAATTGTATGAAACTTTCGCAACCGGCCATTGTTAGGCCATGAAAATGAAATGTTTGACAGATTGCCATATTTTCGCAGACACACAGAATCGAGCTGCAAAGTGGGCCACTTGATTCATTTGGCATTTATTTAAATTTGCCAGAAATTTGCAAGCTAATTTCATTGTCACAGCAACGAATTTGGGACATATTCTGTTGCCATTGCCATTGGGGGTCAATTGTTATGTCTGACAGCGACAAATGTCAGAATGTCAAATCACTGGCAAAACTGGCAAAACGAAAAAATGTTGGGCAAACAATTTATTTTATTTGCATTCCGCAAATTCCACACAACGATGTGGAGCGAACGCCTAAAAATATGCCAGGCGAAAGGCAAAAGTCCGCACACGACCGAACACATATGTGTGTTTGTCTGCCAATACTTTTGTTGGGAAAAGGGAAAAAGTTACAAAATCTGTATATTTTTTTGTCGAGTCATTTTAATCCACTTTTCAAAATTTATTATGCAGAAACGCTCAAAAATGTCCCTCCAAACTTTGCTAGAAGGGAAAAAAAGTAGTGGAAAAAGGACGAATATGCCTTATTGTCGGGTTACATTTTTGTTTTCGGTCGCAGACTAGAGCTGTCCACATGTTTTGGGAGTCATAAATCTGCAATTACCAGTCATGCCGGCTCGTCCGAGTCGTCCTCCTCCATTTTCCGGCGCCTGCAAAGTTGCAAAACTCACTTGATGCATCGCTTTTTCGACTTAAATTTCACTTCTTTAAGCGGCATTGCCGATGTGACATCTAAATTATGCTTAGACTCTGTTTGCCTGCCATTTGATTGGAGGCCTCTCTTTCTGGCTTTCGGGGAAAGTTAGTTGCTGGCCCGAAAAACAAAAACAAATAAACAAAACAGTTGAAAAGAAACTTGAAGTTGACTAGTTGCCCCAACCCCTTTTGCAGTTCATTCAGGACTCTCTCTCGGTCTCAGTCTCAGTCTCAGTTTCAGCCTGTGTCTGTTTCTATTTTCTGTTTTTTTGCCAGCCGGTAATTTTTGCCATTTCTTGGCCGAGTCCTGGATGCTCGACTAACTTGTATGCGTTCATGCTTGGCAGCCAATTCAAGTCGTGTCATTTTGTTGAGTTTGTGTTGAGAGTTCGTTGAGTTACCGGCTCGCCCCCATTTGCAGCATTTGCCCCAGCTTTCACCGCTTGTAATTCAAATGTCAGTCAGTCAGTCATTCAGTTGGCTCAGTCGGCACGTCAATGTGGGCCAAACTTCCTGCTGCCAAGCTCTTCCAGCCACTTGAGCCTTGCCAGCCCAAAGAGAGTGCTAGTCTCCGTTCTGCTCCAGCTCTCCATCGCCGTTTCCATCTGCGGCTCCCGTTGGACAGGTGTTGTCTTATTGGTATCCCTGCAACCTCGTATCCTTGCCTGTGCGTGTGCGGTCTCCTGGTTTTTCCTTGAGTTTTCCGTCCATCCAGTTTGCGGCCAGCAGTTTGAACTCTGTGCTCAGTACCTTGCGTGAGCCTGGGAAAAATAAATTATTTATTGAACTCCGGTTGGGCGCACACACGAAAATTCCAAACACAATAAACTACATACATGGATAAATTGATTCTTGTTTAGTTTAGGGGTAATCAACTGTAGTCTTTGCCAATCTTCTCCGATCAAAGGAGGAAAAGGCACTTTGGCAACTATGAAAACACAAACTATCGGGCTGCTCTGGGAAATATTTATATATTTTATATGGACTAAAAGCCTGTGTGAAATGTGCTTTGTCTAGGCTTGCACAAATTAGTTTTCTCGTTAACGAAAAGTTTTCAATTAAAAACTGTTGAAGGTTGACTTTGCACTGAACTGTTTAGTCTGTAAAAATAACTTTAAGGTGTTTCAGTACTTAAAACCTTTATGTAATAAAGCTCAAGTTTACCCACTTAGCCCTCATAAATGCAAACTTTAATGCCAAAGCTGTTAAACTTTGACTAATTGGCCAGGCAGGAGCTTAAAGGCTTCTGCCTGCTGCCAAAGTGTTTAATCTGCCTAATAAACTTAGGGGGAGTCCCTGCGATTAAATATTCACCAGAGAACACTTTCGCCTTCGCCTTATAGAGTAAATTCATGGCGTTGCCATCTGGCTCGAGTATCCTGGGCATTCTGAGGAGGTCCTTGCATTGTTCCCGCCAAAGTTCACACTGACAGAGTCCACAACTCACGGCTTATGAATCTGCGGCCTGAGGAACATCAGCTTCTGGTCTTCAGCAGGGCCGAGAGCGTATAAATTTGAGGGAGCCCGAGGAGCTGGGCAGCGAGAGGATAGGTCATGGTCTCGCAGTGCCATAAAACGCTGGCTAAGTGAAGCTAAAAACGGGTTAAATTGCAATTACGTGCCGGCAACTTGCCCCCGAGCATTAGAGGGGCCGCAACATGTTGATTGTCTGGTCACCTCCTGGTCGTGGTCGTGCTCCTGGCTACATGGCCACACCCAGCTACGTGTGCTCCACCTTGGACTCTGACTGGGCATAAATTCAACCGGAGCCGTTGCCGTAGGAAAGCCAGAGACGTGCCGGTTATCTACGGCCCTGCTGCGTCTGCGGGTCTACAAAGTTTTTAATTAAAAAATGCAGTCGCTTGGCTTTTAATTTCTATTTCCCTTGCCATTTTTTTTTGCAGCTGGCCCTGGCAAATAAATATGCCAGCGCTTGCATATTCAGAAAAAAATCGATTCCCATTGCCAAATCAATCTGCATATTAACAAATAAAAAAGAAATACAAAGCAAGTTGTAAATATGTACATAACTTGGCCGTAGAAGTCACAGCCTGTTCCTGTCGTTTCTCTCTGCGAAAGTTTTTGGTCATGGTCGTTGCTTGCACTTTCCAGGCTTTTTTCGTGTGCCAAAGGAAAATTGAAAAACTAATTTCCAATAAACAAAATCAAAGCAAAAAGCCTCGCTTGCATCTGTGAAAGGAAAAATTCGGTTTGCATAAAATTACCATAATACAATTTCGATAATTTCCACAAACTATGTCGTTGACAGGGAAGCGGAAGAAGTGGCGCCCCAACTTGAGCTGCAACTTGGCTTAACTCGACTTGACTTCTGGCGACATTTCCTGCTCCTCAGGCCCCAGGATCCAGTCCCCGTCCCCGTCCCCGGGCGATGACAGGGTGAGCAACAACGTGTTAACAAGTATTTCCTCTGGACCCACATTCTTCTTTTTTTTTGGCACCTAGAGTGAGAGTGACTGTGACAGCGAAGCGACAGCGTGTGGACCCATCAATCATGGTCCTTGTGACGTGTAGGGTCTTTACCGCCTAAGACAGCGGTGGGTTCAAGGCTGCTGACGTGACGCAAAGGTCAAACTGAGATTTATGGGGCGATTTGCAGCAGCCTGCAGGTGGGAAAGATTTATTGAAGATCTTAAAATAATCTATTTGTGAGGTTTCTAGAAAAATTATGCTTCCCTTTGATAGCAGATTGAAAGTTGAAAACTGCAAAAGTTATGTTATTATTCACTGCATCTGGTTGATTTACATTTCAACTACAAAGACTTATCTCTGGGTATATCTTATCATAGCCCAAAGATAGTGTAGTTACGTTCTCACACCTAATCGAGATAAGTCGCTTCACATTGCCAAGTATAAAGAGTCAAAGTCATTCATCAACAGGGCAGTATTTGCAAAATGTTCACTAAATACTCAGTACTTTGGGTGGCTTTCATTGTGATTTCTGTGAATGCACAGGGTAAGGTAGTTTTAAATATTATTTAACATTTATTTAAATCTTAATATAACACAATTTTTTTTAGAATCTACGAGTCTAAACCCCTCACAGTTTATAAAAATTGGCAAAGGATCATATTACATTGAGACTGTGTCTAGAAAAAACTGGTTTGCTGCCTACGAGTCCTGCCGTCAAATGAAGGCATCCCTTATCGCCTTCGAAAGCCTGGAGGAATGGAAGCTGGTAAATCAATACCTTCGGGATATGCAAATCTATAGAAAATACTGGACTGCCGGCACAGACTGGGCGGAGCAGGGAAAACATGTTTGGTTCTCGAATGGACAGCCACTGTCTTTGGACATTTGGCGAGCCGGAGAACCGAATAATTACAACGGAGACGAACACTGCGATGAGGCTGGACCGGCCTTGGCTGAATGACATTGTTTGCACGACACTGAGGATCTACATTTGCAAGGCACCAGAGGCACCGCCACAGACAGAGTGTCCAAGAGAGTCCTTGAGGAGATTAATATTAATAAAGAGCTTTTTTCAGGGAAGCTAAATAAGTCTTAGTCTATTTTTTAAGAATTTATAAAATATATTTATTACCTAAGAAGTCCCTCCATCACATCTCTCTTTACAGAAACATAAACTCTGGCATGTACAACAACCCTCAAGATTTCCCATCCTCTATTTGTATTTTCAAGTCGTATATCATTACACCTCGCTGATATGTCAAGCCATATCGCATTATATCGTGGGCGTATCTTTAGCCCCAAGTGTTTATCCAAGAGATGCCACAATGTTTTTGCGCGATGAGTGAGGAGGAGTCGAGGAGAGGCTGACAAACTTTGGCTTATGCACAATTCAGATTGCATTGTCAGCAATTTTTCCATTTTTGACTTTTTCCACATGCCAACTTCTCTACGAGCTATTGTTTTTTCTCCCATTGCCATTCCCTTCAGAGGGTTTTTTTTTTTTTTTGTTATTTTCTAGCTTACGCGCTTCGCCCGCACAGCGTAGACATGACAAATGATGTCAGCGCCCGTGCATAGTTTTCCGGAAAGGAAAACACGCAGTCGGGAGCACGGGATCTCCTCCTGACAGTGTTGAAAAATGTGCGCTGGAAAATCAACACAAACATTTGCCGCCGCAGCAGCAGCAACTTGGCCGCACTCGGGCGTGACATGTCGCGCTAAAAGTTTTTCCAGCGAAAAGTCCAACTCGGAGGGAGAAAGTTTCCAAGTCATATGAGAGGGCATTGATTATCATAATTGCAATGAGCTGAGCTCAGAAAGTCAAACGGCAACTAATGTGGGGGGAAACCAGAATAAAATACAAAAGGCAAACATTAAAAGAAACACTTAATCCGCCAGAGGAATTACTTTATGAACTGACATCATCAAATAAGTTATTTTAAGCGCAGAGATTTCACTTTAAAGGGAGGCTTGATTTATGACGAAGCTAAGGCTATAAATAAAATTAAATTTGCTTAGAATGTAAGACCTTCTGTGAGGCTTCATATATGCTAAAATTATTATTTAAAGTGGGAAAATAAATAGATTTAAAGAAATATTATCTCATATTTAATCCCCTTCTTAAAACCAATCCTAAACAGCATTGAGACACATCCTCCTTTAGCCAAGTCTCGGAGAAATCCTAGGGAGCTCTGGCCAATCGTAGTTGCCCTTTGCCGGCACGCATCTTAAATGTAATTTGCATTTGAGGCAAGGCTTTCGCACAGCAGGGAAACCGTCTGGATTAAGGACTTAGCCCCCGTTGTCCTCCTTGGGCTAATTATAATTGTCTGTCTGGCAGGACACCGTCTGATTGTGAGAGTTGTGGCTGGCTGCGCTTAATTTGAGTTGCCGCAAAATGACTTTGCCAGCGCCCAAGTTGTAATTAAATTTTGACATCAACTGTCCGAGCTGCGACAGAGTACCAGTGTTTAGCTTTTGAGGATCATTGACCATCATTGCGATGTGCATTTATTGCAATTTATGCTAGATGGAGTTACTGGAAAATGTAGTTAACTTTTGTTTAAAGCAAAGCTACCTAAGAAAAGAGCCTGAGAGCCTCGAGCCCCGAACGTGGGATGAAATTAGCCTTAATAGTCTCATGTGTTACGGTGACCCTAGTTTAGCTATTTACTATAAACCCAGGCTCAGCTTACCAAACTCCTCCTCCTTAAATGCAAGATTTTCACAAGCATAAACTTCATCCGGGAAAGCCTTTCCTTTTTTTTCCAGGTTTTCCTGCGTGCATTTCTCCTTGTTATCCCTCGCCTTAAACTACTTACGCTCCGGGGCAGATGTGTGTCAATAAGCAGAACTTGGTGCTGGCCGAAGCGCTTTGCGACCGGCGTCTCGAGCTGCACTCATCTCCATTTGAGCCATAAAGCTAAGTAACTTAAGCACAATGCAGCGCAGTGAAAGCTAGGGAAAGCGAGGAAAAGCTGAGATGCGATGCGATGCGATGCTGCCCAGTCCGGCCCGGTCGGGTCGGAGACGGGCAATTGGCCAAGTTATCATAGAAATGAGTTATTTGTTAGATCCATCATCTTGAATGCATAAAGGAGAAAACGCGCAAAATTCCGTCCGCCTTGCTGGCAAAAGGAACGACGACTGACCGCGTCCACATAATCAAAAAGCAAATTGCATGGCATGAAAAAAATAAACATAAATTTCAACTGTAGACTATAAAGCAGCTAAAAGCGAGCAGAACAAATACCAAGTATGGCGGAACAGCGAAGGAAGACCGTTTTTTTGGGGGGGGAAACCAGAAACTTGTTAACAAAATTGCAACGAGTTCATTGACAGTTGATTGTGAGTGCAAGTGCTAGTTTCTGTCTTCCGACAGAACTGCAAATATTTAGTGGAGAAATAATCTTGCTAGTTTTAAAGGGTTTTAGTTTCAGTAACCTTCCTTTCCTTAGGCTATATGTATAAAGGTTGAGCCCCAATAAAACCATATTTTCTCTTCTTATTCCAAAGAAATATATATAATTTAAGCCGTTTAAATGTAATTATTGTTTAATTTTAACCAAGAAAGTGATTTCCCCCTGCATATGTTGGTGTCCTTTGCCGATCATTTACTGCAACGAGCACCACCACTTCCGTCCGCATTTCCTGGTTGTTCAAAAACTGTAGTCTACTTAAAAGGGCAACCGCGGACCAAACGAAATTCATTATCAAAAATGGCTCAAGGCACCTGGCAACAGGACGAAGGACGCAAGGATTGGTGTGACTAGGCGGGAGCTCACCTTAAAGTTTCCCATCCGCCGTGGCTAATGAACGCTGCCCTGGTGCGAGGAGGAGGAGGCAATAACGCGGGTCGCCACCGAAATGTCAACTGGCGCATGCCTCTTGGGCAAGTAATTATGTTTGATGACCTGGCGGTCGCCGCTTGCTCTCTGTCTCTCTTTTTTAGTTGGGCTAAAAAGTGAATCAGACGACAAGGACAGGAAAGGAGAGTCAGCGGAAGCAGCGTTAAGATTATAATGCAAATATTGAATGGCTTCGCCCATCTATATTTCGCCCAAAGTAATACGAGAAACTTTGCAATCAGTTCATAGTTTGGTTTGCCAATTTGTTGGTTTATTGCTTTTGTCTTTACAAATGGCAGTTTAATTTTAAACTTGGATTCATTTTTCTTAATTTATTTTGTTACTGATGCAATTATTGGGGAATACCATTTAAGGTTTTTATTTAACCTGGCTTTCTTATTTCTTATAAATTAATATTCAATTCTTTTAGATAAACAACTGCTCATAAAAATGTATAGTGTACTTATAGAAATATTTTATAAATTAAATAAAAAAAATCACAAACGGTTAATTTTAAAAATCTTTAAATAAATATTTAATCTAAATTGAATAGAATAAATTTATTGTCACTCAATTTGTTTCAACTTCATTTCAATTTCGAAAAATCAAAAAGGACATCTACCGTTTGAAAGTTCGAAATGAAAAACATCGTTTTAAGTTCTGTTATCATACAATACAGGAATAAAATATAGAATGTACCACAAATTATGGTGGGTAAATAAAAAAATAACGAAATATTTATTTAACTATAAATAAATACTATGAACAAGGAATCGTAGAAGGTAAAACATAGAGCAAATTACATAGAAACACTAAACGTAGCATTCAAAAGAAGGACATAGAACACTCATCGAGCACAAAAATAATCTTTAAAAAGAGTAATATATAGTTAAAATAGACACCTAACTTTATTGAAATTGGAAAGCATTTAAAGCACCAATTTACATAAAAAAAACATGGATTTTCATTCGACACTTCGAATACCTAAAAAATTGTAAACAAACAACGTTCAACAAATACGTAGAAAAGAAAATATATGGAAGTAAGGAACATCACCTTGCTTGGAACATAGAAACATATCAAAATAAATAGAAAAGAGAATATCGAATTTTCTGCAAACGAAGGATAACATGGAACATAGCATTACAAATAAAATTTGAAAAGTTTAAAGAGGGTTTTGTTTAAGGGATATTTTATTTATAAAATAAAATCAAACTAAAATGTGTAATATAAATATAAACAAGAAAGAAAGCTAACTTTGGCCAGCCAAAGTTTGTATACCCTTGCAGGTGACAATTAAAATATTTCATAACTTAGCCAAAAATGCATTAATTTCGATTCGGAAAGCAGTTTTGTGTTAGTTTTTATTAATTTAAAAAAACTGCATACCAAATTTAAAATTTTAAGAAATCAAAATATTTGGCCATTTTTGCAAATTTTAATGGTGTAACCCCTTATCAAATTTCGCAAAATTGGCCAAAAAATCGATTTCTTCCGGACATGTCTAGAAAGATTGGCCTGTTAATGCTGATCAAGAATATATATGGTTTATGGGGTCGGAAATGATTCCTTGACTTAGAAAAATAATATTTTGTATTATAAAATCTGATTTTTTATATTAAAAAACTTCTTGATTTTTTGATTAACTCGGCCAAAAGAGCATTAATTTTAAATCGGAAAACTCTTCTGTGCAAAATTTTCTACAGTTAATAAATCTGCATACTTCATTTAAAAATTTTGAAAATTCAATTTTTTATCAAAATCAAAAATTTTAATGATGTAACCCCTTATAAAATTTCGCAAAAATGGCCAAAAAATCGATTTCTTCCTGACATATCTAGAAAGATTCCCTTGTTGATGCTGATCAAGAATATATATGGTTTATGGGGTCGGAAACGTCTCCTTCACTGCGTTGCAAACTTCTGACTGAAATTATAATTTCCTGCAAGGGTATAAATATGTATATATATTTGAATGGCATAGAATAATTCATAGAAACACTGACAAATATAGAATATAGCAACGAGAAGGACATAGCAGAGAAACATAGGAGCTAAAAAAATGGAAAAAAGGACATAGCATTATTAGCGCCCAAATTGATTCTGTGGCAACATAGAATAAAAGAAAACCCAATACTCCATTCAATTATAAAACATATAACATAATCTCAATAGGAAAGTCGAATAACTGCTCTAGCAGCTTGTCTTTAAATTCTACCAACTCTGACAACTGTTTCTTTTCCTTGTAAATAATTAGCCAAGTGAAAAATTGAGGCCATGTATGCAAAAAACACTGAAAATTGCATTCAAAATACAAAATAGAAATGTAGATAGTCATAGAAAGCTCCATAAATATAGACTGCATTCGCAGCGATATCGCATGGAATCATCAAATAGTCGTAAGAATGTAAAGTATACTCAATTTTGCTTTAAGCTAAGTAAAATTTTTATACAAATATAACTTTACTTTACTTTACTTCAATTCCCAAAAAGCTTTTACTTCAGGGTTGCCTTCATGTACGAAATAGGTACAATTAGGGATACCTTTTAAATAATAAAAAATATTCAACAATTTATAGAATATAAAATTTACTTACCATTATTTTCAGACCTCCTAATTCATTTAATAACCTATTAAAAAAAAAACTAATAAACAATAGGAATACCCGGTCCGCAAATCGTTGCTTTGTGGTTCTTTTTCTGCTTTTCATCGAAGAAGTTCCCCATTAAATTCACATAACCTTCGCCTTCATTAGTTATTTATATTTTCATACCGTTTATTTAACATTAATATGAATGATCAATATTTCACAATACTTGAATATCCAATAACGACCATTTGATCGACAATTTTGTTGTCCAAACAAACTGAATAAACATAATATCTCAGATAATATGTGGCATTTCTTAATATGTCGAATTTCTTCAAGGGTATATGTTTATATGTGGGTGCATGTCAATTTTACTAAACGTCAAACGAAACGATATGCATTTCCTATATACGTATGATAGAATCATCTATATAATCTTTAAATTTTTTCTTTTTCTTTCGTGTATAAGGTAAATATATATATATATATTTTTGTTCTTTATGATTCCTCGAGGAATTTGTCAATTTAGGGACATAGTTTGTCGCTGGTGCAGGGATTTTTGTTTTTCAATTTCATTAGTTTTTAGAAAGTCCTTTTGTTCCAATAGTGCCCATGTAAATATATAGAAAAGTTTTGGTTACCTACAAACGAAGCCAGGTGACACTTTCGATGCAAATCAAAGTATAAATTGGGTTTTTTATGTACATAGATAGTTGGGTAGGAAATTTGTACAGATCAAGCATATATTCCCTGTTGGGAACCAGGTTCTTTTACCTTTGTGGATGATTCTATCTAGGGTTTGATTGGGGGTTATATCAACATTAAGTAACATTTGGTGCATTGGTTAGGTGGCTTTCAATTTTTACAATATTGTTTATAACCTTTGAACCGACAAACAGCTGATTGAAGAGCGCATTCAGCCATAAATAGTTTACAAATAATAAAACAAATAAGCCGCCATTCTCATGAAGCACACAAATCAAATGTATTTATCGTTTCTGTTAAGTTGCGCTGTCTTTTACAATATTTAATATGTATAGCTTTATCTTTATATATATAACTTTATTTGTTTCTATTTAGTCGCCTTTTATTTAGCTGCTTGTTTTGCAAGTTGAAATAACTTTGAGTTCATTCATGTTTTTTTTTTCCGTTTCGTTTTTTGTTTATTTTTAAATTATATTTATAATTTAAGTATAATACATTTTGTACAGATTTAAAAATTAAATTAAATAATAAAAGATTTGATAGATAAAAACGGTATTCCGCTGACACTGACGACACTGACAAAATAATAATAATTGGCTCTAGACATAGAGGTTCCTAATTAGCAACGTACTTGTAGATTTATTTATTTAATCTATACTCTTAGTGGGATCGATCAACAAGTATTGGAAGGGTATTACCAAAGTATAATACAGATGTTGCCTTTAAGTTTAAATGGTGCCATTTATAGGATTTTTTGTTTTGTTTCGTTTTTAATTTGCTTTTTTATGGTGGTCTTCGTGGGTAACTTGGTAGCTTGGTCAATTGTTTGAGGGGGGTGGTGGTGTGAGGGTCCAAGGGATCTTATACTGAATCAGTCGTAGTCACCAGAGAGGGCTGTTTCCATTATGCTAGATAAACGAGTCTAAGGGCCCTCTTAAAAGCCTGATTTCCGGTATAAGATCTCTCAAGAGCTAGTGAATTCATGTTTTCTTTCGTTATTTGAAGCGGCATTTTGTGTTTTGGCCTAGTGCTAAGCGCCACAAGTTGGTGTGTTTACTGTTTACTTGATGCGTTCTGCGTATAAATAGCTGTATCTTAGGTTCTCTATTTGCATATTTCAACATTAGTTATGTTTGCGTTAAGTATCTCTGATAACCTCCATCCATCATCCATCCATCCATCCATCCATCCTCGCACCTTCGATCTCTGAACATCTGTGCTCGGCCCGCTCCTGCTGCTCCTGTTCTTTAAACTAAGTTACGTCTTTTTCAAGCGAACCACACTTTGTCCCCCTGATAGTCCCCGTTCCTCTGCTTCCTAGAGCTGCACCTGGAATGTCTGCGCCGGAGCCTTAGGCGGTGAGATGAACGGGTTGGTGCTGTGCCTGGCCAGCGGCGAGCGAGAGGTGCTCGGCACCGGCATATCCGGTGACAGTTGCTTAGCCGCCGCCACATTGGCCGCCCACTCGGCATCGAAGGGATCATCCGGACCACCTCCTCCTCCAGTTCCACTGGCTAGCGTTTGAGCTCGACCCACATTGGCCAGGTAGCTGGGCCGCTTGGGAGCAGCCGGGGAAGTACTACGCACCACCTGACCCAGCCACTGCTCGGCATTGGGCAGCTCCGTGGTGGCCTCGATGCTCTGCTCGGATCGCGTGGGCGACTGCTGCGAGTGGAGCGTTTGGTAAGTGGGCGTTGTGCTGACCACTCGGGGCGTCACCTGCGCCGTGGGCGTGGCACTGTACGAGATCACGTGCTGGCCCTGCTTCTCGGCGGCTATGATGTTCTGGTTGATGCTGCGATTGTTGTTAAAGTTCAGATCATCGCCGGCGGCCAAAAGAGCATCCGACTGAGACAACATCGACAGGCCCTGGCTGAGCTCCTGGCACAGCTGGCTCACGGAATCGGCAGCCGCTGCGGCGGCCGACTGATCCGCTCCAGCTCCAGACTTGGCCGGCGACACCTCGGCAATGGGTGAGACACTGCGCAGCGGCGTCTGCAGCGGATTCCCGGCGGCGGCAGCGAGGAAGGCTCGCTGGCGATCGGCGTTGGACGGAAGATCGTTGACGCGCAGCGACATCTGGCGCTTGAACGGCGACTGGCTGCCGATCGTGCTCAGGCGGAAGGAGCTCTGACGCTCCAGCATGTTGGGCGTGGCATGGGGGCGTTCGATGGCGAATGGATTGAACGGCTTAACTGTGGCTGCCGGTGGACCCGGCATCGATCCCGATACCGGACCGTCCACACTGCGCTCGTTGGTGCCCACGGTTGCCATGGCCAGGCGCTCTGTCAATGTCTGTTGGCGGAAGGATCCGGTACGCGTGAAGGTCGAGTTCTTGGTGTCGAAGGTCATCGTCACTCCGCACTCCTTGTCGCGCCGCTGCTTCCGCTCCAGGCACACGGCAAAGGCGCAGCCCACAGCGTGAGACAGTCGCTCGCCGGAGTCCTTGCAGGCTAGGAATCCATGGCACATCCAACGACGCGTGGTTCCATCCCGGCAAATGTAGCTGAAGCCGCGCTCGTGGTTGCGATCTGGGGCACAGAAGCTGACCTTCTCGATGGTCTGGTCCACAATCAGGCCCTTGGTCTCATCGTCCACCACACGCAGGCCATCGCCACTGACATGGAGTAGTCCGCGGACAGGACGACGTCGGGATTGCTAAAGGGGAAACAGAGAAATTAGTCATTGATTACGATTGGTTTTTATTATAAGGAAGGAGACAGGGATCAGGTTGTATAATTGCATCCTTAAAATCCATTACCCAATTCCTGATACTCCGTGTCCTTTAACAATAATAATCACTTACCCTTAAGACCTTGAGGGCCTCCTCGCAGACCTGCATTCCACGCGACTCAAACACCTCCACGCAGCCCAGATACTTCACCGAGAAGGAGCAGGTGGCCGATCGCACAGCTTCCTCGTCGGCCTGCCACTGGTGCGGCTTCGAGGACTCGGGAACGCGATCCTTGCGGCGACGGAACGAGTCGCGGAAGGAGCGACGCAGACGATCCATTTTCTTCGGCGATTTCTTGCTAAACCGGAAGGAGGCGGATTTCTAAAGGGCACACAGGATACATTTTGTACAATCGTTAGTTAAGTAAACAACATTGAAATATAAAATAACAGAGAGAGAGAGAAGGAGAGATCGAAACAAGTGCGAGTGTAAAATGCTAAACAGCAGTTCCAACCCCGGTATTTCCAGGTTCCAAGCTCCGAGCTCCGAGTTGTTTTTCAAAACCTACCCCATTTTTAACGTCCCCGAATTTTCCGCGTGTGAAGCCGCGCTCGAGTGGTTCGTGCGTGTGAGACGACGAGTTTCCCATGCCTGTGCCTGTGCTCCGATCCTAGGCGTGAGTAAATTCTCCAGAAGAACCGTTACAAGCGCCGGCCGACAACGTTGCCAGATGGCAATGCGATTCCCGGGTGATGTACTGCCCGTTGTCTCGTGCGAAATTGTTTTCCCGCTTTTATTGATCGCTTATTGGCGCAATTTTATTTGTTCATTGAATTTGAGTTATGGTTTTTGATTAAATTAAATTGATGGGCGAGATCTGTAAAATGTTTAGAGAGATGGCTATATAGTCGCAATTGAGGGGGTAAAAGCAAAGCACAGCTCTCGTTATCACTGCTGACGTCGTCTCCAATATGCGTGAGTCACAAAACCGCTGGCAAGTTCCTCTCCCTCGTTTCCCTATCGCTATCGACACATGAAAGCACTCTGGCTTATCGGCTCTCCGAATTTGATTTAACGCCCCCTCGCTTTATGTTATTGAGCGGAGATCAGAAGTGCCCTTGGATATAACACCCATTATCCATTAACCACACGGGAAAAATGCAATGACAAATATATTGATTACAGAATGGAATATATTATTAGAAGGGGTTTTTCTAAAAATATGCAAAATCACAGACACATTAACACTATAAATTATATTCTTTAAGCAATTGCAATGTTATATATTTAATTTTTTTAGAATTCAAAAAGAAACCCTGTTCTTTTATGACACTTTTATATCAGTTTCACAAGAGTTATCAGCCTTCAAAAAAACCATGTTACTCTCAAGTGGCACACACTATTTAACTATTACAAAAATGATTTCAAAAATAGATTCCTTAATTTATTTTCCCAGTGTACGATCTGCTATACATTAAAAGCTTTTCGCGACGAGATACCACCAAGCAACCTCCACTTGGCTTGGCCCGAACTAGAACTGAAGTCAAGAGGAGCAATTAATGCCAACGGCCTCCCAACGCTTATCGCACAATGGGCGTGGCCGAGTCGAGTGTCTCACGTAATTGTTTACACACATATTTAATATTTCATTTTTTTTTTTCTGTTTTTTTTTTAGCATTTATTTGCCTTGACTTCGGCCAGGCTTTTGTTTTCCCAGCGCTGCGGCGACACGGCTGACATTTTTGTGACTTTATCACATGCCTCGTATTGCGGTAAATTGTTGATAAACTAAGCGTCCGTAATTATCGCAAAATCATAACAAAACTTTTGTATATTTTCCCTTCGCCTTTGGTAAAATAATCTGTCCGATTTGATTCCTTCTGACTTTGACGGAGATGCACAAACTTCAGTTATTCAAGGGGGATATATTTTTGGTGTATTATTTTCAACTCCTGGGGCTTAAATTTTAATAAATAAACCCCGTAGGAGATAATGGCGTTCAAACAAACTTTGTTTTTAGCTCTTATAAAAATATTATCTAATATTTATATGAATTAAATAGGGTAATCTGTGGGCTGTTTGCATGTCTAGATCTCTGAGAACCCGACTGCCACAGCCAGAGTCGCAATATATAATACAGTTTTATGGTTTTCCCACCGCTCTGCATTTTCGTAAAGTTTTTCCGAGCCAAGATCTCTCACATTTTAGCCCGGCCATGTTAATTGACCAACTCGAACGAACACAAGGCGGGCGGCGGCTAATTGGGCTTATTTGTTCAACTCATTTGTGGCTGGTACGGCGACACAAGTTGAGCACAGAATTTAAAGTTCAGTTTCAACGTGAATCGAATTCCCCTGCAACCTGACTTTCTTCTCCCGCTGTAACTGTAAATGTTACGAAACCAGTTTGACCATTTGATTTACCCCAAAGTATTTCGTCTCAGTTTATTTGGTGACCACAACGGGCAAGGGCAGCAATACCGCAGCTTTGCTTTGACTTGGGTTTTCGTTTCGTGTTCCCTGGTTTTCTGGCTTCATTAGAAGGCATCGAGAGAAGAAGGGCGTTGACTTTGCTCCCGGGATGCTGTTTGACTGCATTTTTTTCTCCATCTAAGTCCACATAAGCCGGCTAATCGAATTGTGAACACGTAAAGCATCTAAACATTCTGTAAAGTGGGTCAGAGGTTTATGGGAAAAACTGCTGCTGGAGGAGAGAGATGATTTACCAGAGCTCTTGGCCTTTGGCTTAAAAGTTTTCCACAAATAACAATAAAAAAGTGAATAAATTCAGAAGCCCGAGGGCGACATCTTGGCTGCTGGAAAACTGCTGAAGGACACAAGTACACATTTTCCTATTTATTTTAATGGAAGTTACAGCTGAGTGGGTTTGAATGGCAAAATATTATTACAATAACTCTTAAAGTCCACACAATATAGGAAAAAATAAGCTCTTATCCCGATTAGCTTTAAGTATGGCCAATAATTGGAAATTCTGCAATAAATTTTGCCAACTAACCACTTTAAGACGCCATAAAAGTTTAAGACATGCTCGAAAGATTTTAGGCTCTATGATTCATGGCTTACGCAAAGAATAAAATCCAAATCACGCACTAAAAGTAAACATGATTTCAGAAATGACAACAATCAGTTGGTTATGGCCTATCGGAGAAGGGTTTGGGGTGTGGGCCACCATCCGGAAGGGTTCATTCAACCAATAATCGAGACACGAAACAGGTTCCAGCAGTAAAAAATCTGTGTACGTGGTGTTTGCACGAGAATCAGATCCGACTGCAGTTTGCTTTGATAAAAAAGTGAATGAACAAAAATAATATAAAATATGGCAGGCGAGAGATACTTGTTTCTTTATCAATGTTTGCCCTGATATCGAGCATATTTATTTTCTCTTTGTGATATGGTAATTAATAGGGGTATTTCCATGATTAAGGTAAAAAGAGAGGGCTTTGAAGTAGATCAAAAAAATATTTCTAAAAAATATATAGACTCGATCTTACTTGAAACTTAGTTTGGGCTTGGGACTGACAAATTAATCGTGCCACAAATTAAATTTTTGTCTGCCACTTCGTTGACCTCTCACCCTTATTCTTGTACACTTTTTGCCACGACAACACTCTCCCTAATTAATTCATTAAACTCTTCCAGAGCTGCCCAGTGCTCCTCCATAAATCATGGGCCACATGCGTCGGGTCCATCCACTGGGCGGGCGATGACATGAGCCAACTGTGAAATGCCGTGCTAGAATATGGCGATATTTTCCAGTTCGTTTTTAATTTAGCATTAAACAATTAACCCTGGGATGACAAAACAAGCGCAGTCAATGACACTTTTGTGTATATCGGCATGTAGCATGTAGAAATGTGTAATTTGTGTTGCATAACCACAATCGAGCCTCGATATATCAAGAGTGGGTGTCCGCCCGCCCGTTGTAATTACATTTTAGCTGTGAATGTGCCCTCAAAAGGCCAACGACACTTGTTGCATTCGGAGCATTGAGTGGCGAGGCGATGACTCCTCCAACAGTCTAGCCTTCTGCCAGGGATGAGTGGTTGTGGCACCTCGGAAATCCCATTGGAAGAGTTTCAGCTTTTCATCCGGCTGAAAGGCATGCTCCCACAGGCTTACCATCATCGATGCCTCAACATTTCTATGGTTAAATGTGAGCTGAGCTAGCAATTGCAACATAGTTATGGATTTTTGATTCAGAACAGACACAAGTGGGTTATGCCGCATAGAGGCAGTAGTTTTACAGACAGATTAAATGGAAATCACGTACAGAGCTTGGATTTAAATTGGGTTTAAAGAGAGATGAATTCTTTGCTCTATTAAGTTAGTTGCCTTTTTAAAAGGTTATTTAATAATTTAATCAAAAAGTACCTCCTCCTTTACAAGATTTCACACGGCAACTTGAAACTTTTTAATATTAAGGGGGTCTTCTCATTGGGCAACTTTTTTTTTCGATTTTTTTTTTTTGCATTTATTTATAGCTTGGGATGGTGTGTATATGTCCCCAAAAGGATTTTTAGAAATTCGAAATACTTTAGAAGATACAGCCTTTTTTGTGAAGCAAGATCTATGCAAAATGAGCTTTTTTCAAACTTCAAACGCGTTTATCTCGAAACCACGTTTTTCGAACTGGCGGCCATGATATCTCCAGTTCAACTGAACCGATTTTCATGAAACAAAAATGAATCGACGCAGAATTGTCACCATTTTCGGCTGACGGAACAGATTTTTTTAAAAATTTTTTTTTCTATTTTTTTTTACACTAAACTACAAAAAAAACGCCCGAAATCGAATTTTTTTTTTTTAATGGCCGCCATTTTGTTTTAAAAATTTAAAAAAAAATCTGTTCCGTCAGCCGAAAATGACATCAATTCTGATTATAACCCCGTTTTTATTTTTCATTTCGGACGCTCTGGAGACCCTGAATCGTGGCCGCCAGGACGACACCTTTTTTTCGACCACCAAGTTTGAAGTCTCATTACTCTTTGAACAACCCTCGTATCGAGGCATGAACAACTTTTTTAGTTACTTTGAACATTTTTGAATACAATAAATAAAAAAAAGTTTTCAATTATTCTTTGCGTTTTCAAATAAGAATTTTTTTAAAAAAGGGCCAAAAAACGGGTTTTGAATGAGAAGACCCCCTTAAATACTGATTGAAAACTTCCCAAGGTTTTCCCATTAATTATCAACACTTTTAAGTGTTCATTACATAGTTTCTCCCTTGGCAGAGCAACTTCAATGTCAAAACTCACATTACCAAATGCACTTTGTGAAATTTCACACGCCTGCATGGTGATGATGATGATCATGATGGTCAGCAAAGGATACACATTTTATGGCTTCCTTTCTTTTTCTGCTAGTACTTGATATAAAATTATAATTATTCCCGCCATACGCTCTCCGCCTGTCTGTCTGTCTGACTGCTATCCTTCGGTTTTTTAGGGACAGTGGCTCTGCTAGGGGCGTTATCAACCACCGCACCACCTTCATGGAGTGTTCCTCTCCTCTCCGCATCCTCGTCCTGCGAGGGTTGCCCTCAACTTCTGGAATTTATAATTTTGAATGCTCTTCCTTGTGTCGGTGGTGGTCGTGGGAACTTTTCGTTTTTTTTTGTAAAATAAATTTGAAATATATCAGCCAACGTTTTGTGTGAATATTTAGTGAAGCAATTAAACGCTGCTTGTGTGTGTATGCACATTTTTACATTTTTTATGGCTGGTGGGAGCTCAACGATAATGACTTCAATTAGGCTACGTAATAAGGTGCAATGAAGCAAGACCCCAAGGATTTTGTCAGCGGCAGTAAATTATTTTTCAGGCTCTTGGGAGATTTTAAAGGATTTTTAGGAGGGTTT